ATGGCAAATGCCAGCCTGCAGCCAGTCCGGCAGTTTCTGTACCAAACTTCCGATTTCTGTATGTCACTTCTCTTTTTCTGTCTATGCGTTTGTTCTGACCACAAGACATAGCTGGAGTCTCTGAATCTGCTTGATTCTGAGGGCTGCCTGATTCACAAATCCTTCATTGCTCAATTGCTCAATTGAACTTCTTTACATTTAATTCATCTGAACTTTTTCTTTATTTGTATTTATTTACTTTTTTTGAGATGGAGCCTCTCTCTGTCACCCAGGCTGGAGTTCAGTGGCGTGATCTTGGCTCACTACAGCCTCCGCCTCCCAGGTTCAGGAGATTCTCCTGCCTGAGCCTCCTGAGCAATTGGAATTATAGGCACCTGTTACCATGTCCAGCTAATTTTTGTATTTTCAGTAGAGATGGGATTTCGTCATGTTGGCTGAGCTGGTCTTAAACTTCTGGCCTCAAGTGATCTGCCTGCCTCAGTCTCCCAAAGTGCTGGGATTACAGGCGTTAGCCACTGTGCCTGACCAGCTTTCTGTGAATTTCTTCTACAAATTTGCCTATTCTGAATAGTTCATATAAATTGAATCATATAATATGTGGTCTTTTGTGTCTGGCTTCTTTCACTTGGCATAGTGGTTTTTTTTCTTTTATATTTTCAAGATGGCATCTCACTCTGTCACCCAGACCAGGGTGCAGTGGCATGATCTTGGAGACTTGGAGGCTCACTGCAGTCTCTGCCACCTGGGGTTCCAGTGATTCTCCTGCCTCAGCCTCTCAGGTAACTGGGATCACAGGCATGTGCCACCATGCCTGGCTACTTTTTGTGTTTTTAGTAGAGACAGGGTTTCACCATGTTGGCCGGGCTGGTCTTGAACTCCTGACCTCAGGTGATCCACCCATCTCAGCCTCCCAAAGTGCTAGGATTATAGGTGTGAGCCACTGCACCCGGCCTCACTTGCTCTTTTTTTCTACCCTCCCAAATCAGATGTTAGGTATAGTGTTTTCAAGGTTTACCTATGTTGTAACATGCATTAGTATTTTGTTTCTTTTTGTTTATTTTAGAGTTAGGGTCTCATTCTGTTGCCCAGGTTGGAGTGCAGTGGCACAATCATAGCTCACTGCAGCCTGGAATGCCTGGGTTCAAGTGATCCTCCCACCTCAGCATCTTGAGCAGCTGGAACTACAGGCGCACACCACTACCCCTGGATAATTTTTATTTTTGGTAGAGACAGAGTCTCACTATGTTGCACAGGCTGGTCTCAAACTCTTGGGTTTGAGTGATCCCCCCATCTCAGCCTCGGGAGTAGCTGAGATTACTGGTGTGAGCCACCGCACCTGGCCTTGTATAAGTTTTATTTATTTATTTTTATTATTTTTAAAATTTTAGATGGAGTCTTTCTGTGTCACCCAGGCTGGAGTGCAGGGGCACTATCTTGGCTCACTGCAACCTCCGCTTCCCAGGTTCAAGTGATCCTCCTGATCAGCCTCCTGAGTAGCTGGGATTACAGGTGCCCACCAACATGCCCAGCTAATTTTTGTATGTTTAGCGGAGACAGGGTGTCACCATGTTGGTCAGGCTGGTCTCGACTCCTAACCTCAAGTGATCTGTCCACCTCGGCTTCCCGAAGTGCTGGGATTATAGGCTTGAGCCACCGTGCCTGGCCGGGCTGGCTAGTTATTGAACTGATGACTCACTCTTTGTCCCATACACCTGTCCTGGAGCTGCTTTGGCTCAAGCTGCACACAGAAGTGAGACCTTGTTTCAAAAAACTAAAAGAAACCCCAAAAAGAACAAAACAACACCTATGCATCTCCCCTGATCCTGATCACCACTGATTTATAATTTCTCAAGATTCTCAAGTGGCAGGTGGTTCTACTGGTGTCTCCTATCCCACTCATGAGGCTTAAGGCATCAGCAGGGCTGGCTCCTTGTAGAAGCTGCAGGGGGATCCTTTTCCTCGCCGTTTTTAGCTTCTGGAGGTGTCCGGCATCTGGCAGCCCCAGTTCTCTTCCTGACATCACTCCAACCTCCTGCTTCTGTGGTCACATCTCCCTCTCTTGTGACAACGTTGGGTGCAGGCGGACAACCCAGGATAACGTCCCTGTCCCGAACCCTTAACTTACTCATATCTGCAAAAATCCCTCGTGCTATGTAACATAACATATTCCCAGGTCTGGGGACCAGGAACATCTCTGGGGACCACTCTTCCGTCCAGCACACATCCATTACAAATGCAGGTGACACACCACAACAGTGTTAGCAGAACTTGTGACTTCGTCACCAATAGAAATCACAGACATTTCCTGTCATGTTTTCTTCCAGCAGGCGCCTTGGAATATCATTTATGCTCAGCTCTGCTTCTAAGTCACAGTGGTTATTAAAGCTGCCACGGGTGATTTTTTTGCTTAATGCATTAATGAAGAAGCACATGAATTGCTGTATCACAGTGAGAAAAAATATTTTGATCACTGTATTATAATAAGAGTTGGATTCCTTTGTCCTGCATATGTTCTTTCATTCTAAGAAGGGCCCATAGGTTTTTTAAGGCTGTGGTGAGGTCCAGTAAGTGAAGGCGGTGAAGAAGCCCTGCCTCGGGGTCTGTGGAGGGCAGAACTGCCAGGAACCAGGGCCCCTGGATGACTGGGTTGAGCCATCCTGCCAGCGGAAGTGCTCACCTTGGGAGGAGGTGCTGGCGTGGAGAATGACGCTCTGTGGTTTGTAATCCACGGTCACTGTATTTGGGGGGCTCTTTGTTACAGCAGCTCAGCTGACTCTACTCAGCAGAAGTCCCTGATTCAAGTTGTCTTCCTCACTTGTGGGGACCGATCCAGGGTTAGTGAGATCTCACGTTTGCTTATACAGTTCAGGGATTTCTTGGAAAGAGAATGGACTGGACCCAGTGGCTCAGGCCTGTAATCCCAGTTCGGCCTGTAATCCCAGTTTGGGGAGGGGCTGGGGTGGATGGAGGATGGTGCTGAGGAGGGAAGATCGCTTGAGCCCAGGAGTTTGAAGCTGCACTGAGCTGAGATCACACAAGACATAGGATCTTGCTATGTTGCTCAGGCTGGTGGTAAACTGGCTGCGGTCAATCCTCCCATCTCAGCTCCCCCAGTAGCTGGGATTACAAGCTTGTGCCACCGTGCCCAGCCAATTCTTTAATTTTTTTGTACAGTTGGGATCTTGCAATGTTGACCAGGCAGGTCTGGGCTCAAGTGATCCGCCCACCTCAGCCACCTAACACGCTGTGATTACAGGCTTCAGCAACCAGATCCAGGCTCCAAATTAATTTTAAAGATGCTTCATTTCACCCAATATATCCAAAGTGCCATCATTTGAACATCTAATGAATGTATAATTATAATCGAGCTGTTTTGCATTATTTTTTTCCCACAGTAAATCTTCAAATTCTGGGGTTTGTTTTACACTCACTGCACAAATTATGTGGCACCACCTACATTCCAGGTGTTAGATAGTGACATGTGGCCTGGGAGCCCCCGCGGACAGCACAGCTTCCATGAAGCTGCTGCTCTAGACCTCTCACCATGGATGCTGATGAACGTTCTTACTACCAAGGCATTTCTAGCTCCTGTTATTTTACTTACAGCAAAATGTTTTATTATTTATTTATTTGAGATGGAGTTTTGCTCTTTCACCCAGGCTGGAGTGCAGTGGCACAATCTCAGCTCACTGCAACTTCTGCCTCCTGGGTTCAAGTGATTTTCCGGCATCAGCTCCTGAGTAGCTGAGATTACAGGCACCCACCACCATGCTGGGCTATTTTTTGTACTTTTGCTAGAGACGGAGTTTCACCATGTTGGCCAGGCTGGTCCAAACTCCTGACCTCAGGGGATCCACCTACCTCGGCCTCCCAAAGTGCCAGGATTACAGGCGTGAGCCACTGCACCCGGCTAAGCAAAATGCATTCTAAATGACCCCTCACACACTCGTAGGTAGAGGACACACACACAATCCCACAACTACAATGACACACAATCAGAAACACAATCACACACACACTGTGGGAAGCCAGAGATGCCACCCCAAAGATGCCCAGCACGTCGTCCCTGGACCCAGTGTGTATCTCAGGTCACTCGGCAAAGCAGCTTTGCAGATGTGATTATAGCATGTGGACTGTCACTGGGGAATCTTCCTGGATGCCAATCTCATCACCCGAGTCCTGAATCGTGGAAGACTTTCTCTAGCTGGAAGCACAAGAGCAGCGTGGCAGGAGAGGTCAGAGAGGTTCCAAACATGAGAAGGTTTGGGGCAGTGTTGCTGGCTCTGAGATGGAGGGTCCAATGGGCAGGGACCATGGAGAGCGGGAGAAGCATGGGTGGAGAAGAGCAGTGAGTTTTCAGGGCAGTGAAAGCATTCTGTCGTCCACTGTCAGAGGGGATAGGATACATTATGTATTTTGCCTCTGATCTCAGGTCCTGGGGAAGAGGCAGGAGCGGCACATGCAGTCCATCAGCAGGAGCAACTCTTCCTAGAGAGCAAGGGCACAGGTTAGCCCCCAGCAGAAGGGATGGAGGTTAGACCACCCCAGTGGGATTAGAGGATGACTGACAGAAGGATAGGGGAAGTTAACTTCCGGGAGGATGTCAGAGGACCCTCTGCTGCAGGAGGACACTAATCAGCCACTGCGGTAGGAGCAGGAGATAGCCCACTGCAGGGAGGATAGAGGTTAGCCCAGCAAGAGGCGTGGAGGTCTCTTTCGGCAGAGCCAGCTCAGGATGGACCCACAGCCACAAGGAAGGCCGGAACCTCCGTCCTACAGCAGCAACGAACAGCGATCTGCCAACAATGTGGCTGACCCTGAAACGAGCTTTTTCCCAGAGCCCCAGTAAGAACCCAGCAGCGACGCTTGGATTCCAGCCTGTGAGCCCCACAAGAGAGAAACCGCCAGGGCCAGCGAGCCTCTGACATCAGACCCCAGCTCATCAACTGTGTCTCTGGAAGATGCTGCCTTTTGGGTGATTTGTTACGGCAGCAACGCAAAGGAAATGCACACCGACACACACGCAGGCGCACGCCATCCGTGCCTTTTCCTCACTCTTTATTTCAACAAGGGTTATAAAAAGTAGAAAAATAAACATTTTCCCAGAGGCGAGTTGGGTTTACACACACAAATACATAAATAGCAATTGGGTGGCAATAAATTAAGACAAGTGGTTGATGTATAAATAAAATCTTAGATTCCATGATGGGTGGCAGGGAGGTGGGAAGGTCAGACACACAGGTCCCCGCTGGCGACGCATTTCAGGTCCCGAGTGAGGAGGCGGAAGAGGTTGAAGGTGACAGAGGCCTCGAGGCAGCCAGGGGACTCCTGCAGGGGAGGAGGGGATGGGTCAGGGGCTGTCCAGGATCTGGGCTCCCAGTGGCTCCCGAGACGCCGGTGTCTCCCCTCCTGGGTCACTCACCTTTTTCGAGGCCTCCTGTAGCCGGTGCAGCCAGTGGTGGAGGCGGCCCCGGGGCCTGGGCCTCGCCGTGGGCTGAGGCTGGACCTGTGTGCAGAGGAGGGTGGTGTGTGAGGCAGGGCTGGGCCAGCACAAGGGAAGCCGCTTCTCAGAGCCCACAGACCTGGGTGCCCGGGCCCCGAGGACTCACACAGGCCCGGAGCTGGGAGAGGACGTGGTGCAGGGTGTGAAGGGGCTGGTCGAGGACGTCCCCCAAGGCCGTGTCATTGTCAGCGGTGGCCTCCAGAACCTCCAGCGTCAGGGCCAGCTCAGCCTCCAAGGCCACGAGGCGCTCCCTCACCTGAGAAGAGGTGAGAAAGAGCAGGTGAGAGGAAGAGGTGGTGGGGAGGCGAACAGAGAGGAACCAGTGAAGGTGACAGGCACAGGGGAGAGGGCACAGCCAGTGGGGTCAGGTGGGAGCAGAGGGAAGGGGGAGCAGGTGTGGGGAGAGGAGAGGGGACAAGGTAGAAGGAGAAGGTGAACTGGCCACTGCAGAGCCTGGGGAACGGGGCTGGGAGGGTAGGGGTGGGCCTGACTCTCGCTCTCACCTGCAGCTGCCTCAGGTCCCAGGTCCTGGGGAAGAGGCGGGAGCGGCACCTGCAGTCCTTCAGCAGAAGTGACTCTTCCTAGACAGCAAGGGCACAGGTTAGCCCCAGCAGGAGGGGTGGAGGTTAGACCACTCTGGGGGGATTGCAGGAGGGCTGACAACAGGATAGGGGAGATGAACTGCTGGGAGGACCCTGCACTGCCAGGAAACATGAATCGGCCCCCTGCAGTAGGAGCATGAGATAGCCCACTGCAGGAAGGGCAGAGGCTACCCCAGTGAAGGAAGCTGGGAGGGAAAGCATGGTGACCCTTGGAGTGGGGGTGGAGGCTAGCCCGTGGCAGGAGGGCAGGGGGAGACTCACTAAGGCATCTTTGGCCCTCTTAAAGGCCTGCAGCTCCTGTGGGGACAGGGACTTGAACTGGGCTATGTGGCAGCCCCTTGCATCCGGGAGGGCCCCGAGGGGCCTGGTCACAGGAACTGCTCCAGTGACGGTCAGCACTGCGGCCATCAGCACCAGCACTGCCATGCAGCCCCCACTCATGTCTGTGTCACAGAAAAAAAGGGAGCTGAGGGGATGGAGCGGCTGCCCCCTGAGGGCAGGGCTGCAGGAGCTGAGCATCTTGGACAGAGATGTGGGGCTCGCCTTGTTTCATTCCTGATCTCTGGGCTTCGTCAGCAGAAGGACCACTCTGAGGCTGTCACCCGGGGTCTCTCTGGGTCTTCTTTGGAGTCTCTGTTGTTTTCAGTCTCCTCTTCCAGATCTCAGCCTGTGTACTGGCCTTGACTCTTTCTATCAATTTCGAGCTCTGTCTGGGATGTGATTGCTGCCTGAGCTCCATGGGGCAGCTTTTATCCCGGGCAGAAGGGCAGCCCCAGCTGATGTAGGAAAAGTGAAAACACAGCCTTCAGGTAAGATACCGGCCACCAGGGGAGCCCCAGGTTGGGAAAGCCCAGGGCAGGGCGGGGCCCGTGAGCCAGGTGAGCAACTGGAGGAAAAGAGAAACTGATGCAGACTCAGGGATTACCTACAGGAAAGTGTGCTCCCAAGAGGTTTCTGCCTGCTCTGGTTATGTTGTTGTTTAAGACAGGGTCTTACCTTGTCACCAGAGTGCAATGGCATGATCATAGCTCACTGCAGCCTCAAACTCCTGGACTCAAGCAATCCTCCTCCTCCAGCCTATAAAGTGCTGGGAATATAGGCCTGAGCCACCACTCCTGGCCAGTATATACATATTTTGAGACAGGGTCTCATTCGGTCACCCAGGCTGGAGTGCAGTGACTCAGTGCAACCGTCGTCTCCCGGGTGTAAGCGATTCTCTTGCCTCAGCCTCCCAAGTAGCAGGGATTACAGGCACGTGCCACCATTACCAGCTAAATTATGTATTTTTAGTAGAGACAGTGTTTCATCACGTTGGACCATGCTGGTCTCAAACTCCTGACATCAACTGATCTGTCTGCCTCGGCCTCCCAAATTGCTGGGATTGCAGGTGTGATCCACCACGCCCAGAGGCCAACATTTCTTAATAGCCCAGGCAGGTAAGGGCTCAGGAATATGAGGCTCTGCTCGAGAACTGAGGTGTGACCATGGACTTGGACACCACGTGGGTGCTGTTCTTCTTAGGGAAGTTCAGGCAGTGATGAAGAGCATGAGTCCTGGAGCTGAAGGGTCTAAGGTTCAAATCTAGTTCTGACCCTCACTAGCTGTGTGACGTTGGCAAGGAGGGGTGCATTCAGCAACACTGATTGCTGATGCACAGATTTGCAGAAAAAAATTAAAAACACAGCTCTTTGTTTATGTGAGTGACTATTTAATGGGACCCACTCATTAAGACCATACCAGGACCTCAGCTGGAGAGTTTAAAACGTGATCTCAATGTACACTACTCCTCCACAAGGCAAGTATGCTAACCCATCCTATAGGTGAGGAAACACAGGCTCAGAAAGCAATTTGTCCTGCATCACACTTTAATTAACTGGCAGGGTGAGAACTGAAACTCAGGCCACCTGAGTCCCTGGCTCAGCCTCTATTTTTGCTGTAAAGCGCAACTCAGAACCATCATATGGAAAACAACCAATGCAATCAAAACACTCTTAATAACTGCAATAAATTTAAACCAGGAGCCAGAATAGCAAATACACAGGAATGTCACAAATACAAACAACGTCAATCAGGGAATCTAAAGAACCACAGTCAGGTGAGGATTCTTGGATTTCACTACCAAACCCTCAGGGATGGTACCCCCCAGATGCCGAATCCAAGAGTCACAGATTCACAGAATCTCAAAGCTGGCTGTGGGGTGGCAAATCCAGGGTTGGGCCCCGGGTTTGGGGGTGTCCTGGTAACCACACAAGGAGGAACTGGTGCCGTGCCTGGGGTCAGCCACGGTTTCCAGACCTCAAGTCTCTTCCTGCTACAGCAGCCCTTGGAGGATCACACAATGCACCCCGAGGAAATATCGCTGCTTCCTGGGGACCCGCGCCTCTTGTATCCGAGACAGAGCATCCAAGTCAGGCCCAAGACTGCAGAGAAGTTCTTGTGCCTCATTGCCCATTGGCTGAGAGCCTCGCCCGGTGGGGCCAATGGGCGAAAGGGGCCACTTTCGGCAGCCAATGGCCTGGAGGTTTCGGGGCTGGCTTAAGGGGCGGGGTCAGAGGCAAGGTCCTGAGTGCGCCGCCAGCCGGAGCTCCCACGTGAGCAGGCGCAGGAGGTTGAAGACCACTCGGGCTTCGCGGCACCGAGGCGAGTCCTGGAGCCCGGGAGGGAGCACAGCGGGGCTGAGTCAGGCTCTTCCCTCCCGAGGAGCCCCCTCTAGTCCCGCCGCTCCCAGCCCTGCTCAGTGCCGGCCTTGTCCGCCTCGCCCGGTCGTCCCTGCAGGCTAAGCCTGTCCTACCGGCTGCACTCACAGGTCTCCGCGGCTTGTGACGCCTCCTCGGGGCCCCGGGGACCTTCCTGGAGGAGTCGGGCCGGGCCAGCTCGAGCTGGAGGGGGAACACGGGGCCAATGGGGAAGGCGAAGGACGGAGCCCCCCACTCCCTCTGCATCTGCCCGTGGCTCCCCAGTCGCAGACCCGAGCCCGGCTTTGTGGACACCCGGAGGACCCGACCCGGGTCTGGACGGGGTTTTCCGCTAAGCGGGACAGACTCGCAAAGCGCGGGGCTCACAGAGGACGCAGAGAAGCCGGCGGGGGCGCGGGGCGAGGGCGGCGGGGCGCGGCGGCACTCACACAGGCCGCCACGTCCCTCCCCGCGGCCGCCAGCAGCTCCAGGATCGGGCCGGCGCCGGGGAGCAGCTCCGGGCGGTGCAGGCGGCTGAGCACCGCCTGGGCGTCCGCTATGCCTCGGGCCACGTGTCGGAGCCAAGCGCAGGACTGCGGGGACGCGCGGGCGTTAGACGGGGCCGCGATCCGGCCGTGCCTCCCCCGCCTCCCGTCCCGGGCCTCACCGACGGCCGCAAAGGATCCCTCCTGGGGTGGAAGGAGCAGTTGCGCGACCCCCAGCTCAGCGCCTCTTCCTCCTGCGGGACAAGCGGCAGGTATCGCGTACGGATGGGCCCCCTCGCTAGGGCCCCTAACCGCTGAGCGGTCTGGCATTGCTGGACGTGGATAGGCACTGGCCGGGTACGGTTGTGCGTGTCGTACACTGAACCGCGAGCTCCCCGGGGGCGTGAACCAGGGCTGAATTGCACCCCGCGCTCCCCCAGCGAAGCCCTGCGCCCCGACTTGGATCGGAGTCCGCCCGGCAGGGTGCCCTTCTGTGACTGACCCTGAGCCTGCGTTCGCGCTGACGACGGGGCCTGCGGGGCCTCTTGTTGGGAATTGTGGGCTGTGACTTACGAGAGGCGCTGGGACATAGGACCCCTCGGGACAGGGACGGACGTGTAGGCACCCATCAGGGCCAGGGTCCCGGGGACGCAGGGGCTGGGCGGTCACTCACGTAGCGGTCCCTCAGCGCCTTGGCCACTGCCAGCGTCCGGGGCTCCAGCGAGCGGTAGTGGGAGAGCAGGCAGCGCCGGGGGGCCGCCGCACCCACCGTGCACAGGACCCACAGCCCCGCAGCCACCGCGGCCGCGACACTTGGCCGCATCTCTGCTCCTGCAGGAGGCCAGGGACGTCAGGGAGGCCAAAGAGAGGGGTCCACGCGTCCAGCCCCTGCCTTGGGTCAGGCTCGCAAGGGGAGGGGATGCTCGGAGCGCGAAGGCGCAGTACGAGCAGGGGAGAGACAGTTGGGACGGTCCCCTCCTCGCCTCGGCCTCTGCCCTCACTCCTCCCTGTAGTGGACCCTCTGTGCCTGGCGCTGAGGCAGGTGTTGCCGTCCACTGGTCCCTGGGAGGCGTCCAGAGCAGTCTCCCCCTGGGCAACAGAGCTTCGACGGCCCATGCTGGCTTTTATGTGCAGGACTGAGAAAGGCTTTGCAGCTGGGCTTCCCCATCCCGGGCAAGCTTTCGGAACGTCACTGCTGGCCGCAGGCCTTCGAGATCCCAGTCGGGTGTGAGGACTTCAACCCAAGGTTGGCCTGTGCCAGGGATGGCTGGCCTCCAACACTCGGTTTCCAAATCGTCTCTGTCCCTGTTTCTACTGTTTCTTCTTGCTTTGCTTCATCCTGGTTGTCCTTATCTTTGTTCTGCCACCACAACAAGCCCTTGTATAGTGTTAACTGTGCATCAGGCCCTCTTCTATGTAATTGACACAGAATATCATCTCATAAATATATATATATATATATATATATTAACCAGGGCAGCCCTGCAGGTGTAGCTGAGAACGAGAAAGCTGCTTTTATTTCAGTTTAGAGACAGGGTCTTGCCTTGTTGCCCAGCTTGTAGTAGTGGCACGGTCACAGCTCACTGCAGCCTCAACCTCCCAGGTTCAAGCAGTCCTCCCACGTCAGTCTCCCAACGTAGCTGGGACTGCCGGTGGGTGCCGCCACCATTTTTTGTAGAAACCTGGTTTTGCCCCGTTGCCCAGGCTGCTCTCTAACTCCGGAGCTCTCACCATCTGCCCTCCTCAGCCGCAGGTTTTTGGGATCCCAGTCGGGTGTGAGGACTTCAACCCAAGGTTGGCCTGTGCCAGGGACGGCTGGCCTCCAACCCTCTGTCCTGAGCCCACTGCCTGTGTGTTTTCTGGATATCTGTCTTTGCCTCTCTGATCTCACTTCTGTACTGTAGGAATGAATGAACACACTTGTTCCTTCTCTTTGAAGCTATAGGCTTGGCAGAGCTATGGAATCATTTAAATGCCTGCCCTCGAGTATTCACACCTGGCTTTCCAATGCTGTCCCCTTTATCTTTGCTCTCTCATTATATTTCTGTTTGTTTGTCCCTGTCTTTGTATTTTTTTCCCCTTGTCAATTAATAAGAAGAGTCAAACTCTGTAAAACACTTGAAGAGATTTATTCTGAGCCGAATGTGGGTGACTGAAGGCCCATGACACAGCCCACAGGAGATCCTGAGAACATGTGCCCAAGGTTGCCAGGCCACAACTTTTTTTTTTTTCCTTGAGAGGGAGTCTTGCTCTATCCCCCAGGCTGGAGTGCAGTGGTGTGATCTCTGCTCACTGCACATGCAACTTCCCAGGTTCAAGTGATTCTCCTGCCTCAGCCTCCTGAATAGTTGGGACTACAGGCATGCACCACTACACCCAACTAATTTCTGCCTTTTTAGTAGAGACGGGGTTTTGCTATGTTGGCCAGGCTGGTGTAGAACTCCTGATCTCAGGTGATCCACCTGCCTCGGCCTCCCAAAGTGATGGGATTACAGGCGTGAGCCACAGCACCTGGCCCACCACTTGGTTTTATACACTTTAGGGAGACATAAGGCATCAGTCAATACATGTAAAATGTACATTAGTTCCATCCAGAAAGGCAGGACACGTGGAAGCCATGGTGTTTCCAAGTCATAGGGAGATTCAAAGAGTTTCTGATGGGCAGTTGGTTGAGTTATCCATATAAAGGAATGTTTGGGTTACCATAAGGGGTTGTGGAGACCAAGAAAGGAAGGAAGGGAAGAAAATGCAGAGAGATCCTGTGCATGCTACCCAGTTCCCCCCAATATTAACATCTTACAAAGCTCCAGTCCAATACCACAACCAGGATATTGATATTGATACAATCCACCCATCATATTTAGATATCCTGTTTTTCTTCCACTGGGTGTGTCCAGATAGCAGACTTCAGATAAAATTGATTGTAAAATTTTTTTAAAAATCAGACTTAAAGGTCTGTTCTATCAGTAATTCCAAAAGGAAGGAGGGTATGATGAGGCGTGTCCCACTCCCTCTTGCGATTATGGCCCGAACTAGCTTTTCAGCTTAACTTTGGAATGCCCTTGGCAGAGAGGACGGGGTCCATTCAGATGGATGTGGGGGACCTTAGAATTTTATTTTTGGTTTACCCCTTGAATATTACCCCTTCTCTTCCGTTTTTTTTTTTTTTCTTTTTTAGACAGGGTGTCACTGTCTCTGGACCCAGGCTGGAGTGTAGTGGTGAGATGACAGTTTATTGTAACCTCAATCCTGTGGGCACTAAGGTTCCTCCTACTTCAGCTTTGAGTAGTCCCTAAGTAGCTGGAGCTGCAGGCACCCACCACCATGTGCAGATAATTCTATTTTTTTTTTTTTTTTGTAGAGATGGGGATCTCACTGTGTTGCCCAGGCTGGTCTTAAATTCCTGGCCTCTAGCTGTCATCCCACCTTGGCCTCTCAAAGCACTGGGATTACAGGTGTGGGCCACTGCACCTGGGCGCCTCCCTCTGTTTTTTGTTCATCTGTGCCTCAGATAAGCTGTCTCTAGCTTTCCTATCGTTATTTGAATATGATATTTACCACCTGAGGTATTGTTAGTTTGCTGTTGAAAAATTGGAATTACAGACATGTTTTTCTCAACTACTGTTAATAGCATATATATGTGTGTGTGTATATATATGTATATATAGGTGTGTATATATGTGTGTGTATATATATGTATATATATGTGTGTGTATATATGTATATGTGTATATATGTGTGTGTATATGTGTGTGTATGTGTGTATATATATGTATGTGTGTGTATATATATGTATATATATATGTGTATATATGTATATATGTATATATATGTGTGTGTATATATATGTATATGTGTGTGTATGTGTGTATATATATGTATGTGTGTGTATATATATATGTATATATATATGTGTATATATGTATATATGTATATATATGTGTGTGTATATATATGTATATATGTGTATGTGTATATATATGTATGTGTATATACATGTATATGTGTGTATATATGTATATATGTGTGTGTATATATATGTATATATATGTGTGTGTATATATGTATATGTGTATATATGTGTGTGTATATATATATGTATATGTGTGTGTATGTGTGTATATATATGTATGTGTGTGTATATATATGTATATATATATGTGTATATATGTATATATGTATATATATGTGTGTGTATATATATGTATATATGTGTATGTGTATATATATGTATGTGTGTGTATATACATGTATATGTGTGTATATATGTATATATGTGTGTGTATATATATATGTGCGTGTGTGTGTGTGTATATATATATATATATATATATAAAATTTATAGCTAATATATACTCAGCACTTCCTGGCTCCATTATAAGCTCTTCTCATGTAAATATCTGTTTTTATTTTTTCTCCCCAGCAACTCTGTTAGGTAGTTGACTGGTTACTGGCTGACATATTATGGATGAAAGAACTGTGGCACAGAGAGATTATGAATGAAACATCAGCTCACACAGCTTATAGATGTGGAATGGGAATTTGATCCCAGGTTCCCTGGGTTATTACCAGTAATGCTCTGCCATCTCTCATCTATATGACTGATCTATACTGCATGGAATAGTCTACATATGTTTTTGTTTGTTTTTAAGATACGGTCTTGCTATGTCCCCAGGCTGGAGTGTAGTGGTAGGATCACAGCTCACTACAGCCTTGACCTCCTGGGCTCAAGTGATCCTCCCACCACAGCCTCCCAAGTAGCTGGGACTACAGGCATGTACCACCACGCCAGCTAGTATTTGTAGAGACAGGATCTCGGTATGTTGCCCAGGCTGGTCCAAACGCAGTCTCAAGCGATCCTCCTGCCTTGGCCTCCCAGTGTTGGAATTACGGTGTGAGCCACTGCACCCAGCCCTAGGTAAGTTCTGAGGAAGTCAGGTACACTTCCTACATGAGACCACTTTTAATTAATTGTAAATTAGGTTTATTTATAAATTTATAATTTATAATATTATGGGTAGCGACTTTTTCACGCTTATATGTCTTCCCTAGTATAAATATGAGAAAACCATTTTATGATTTGCCAGTGCATATTTTCCTACTCAAAAACATAGAGGTTTTAAGAACCAGCAAAGCCTGGCCGACATGGAGAAAGCTGGACTCTACTAAAAATACAAAAATTAGCAAGTGGGGTGGCACGTGCCTGTAATTCCAGCTACTCAGGAGGCTTAGGCAGGAGAACTATCTGAACCTGGGAGGTGGAGGTTGCAGTGAGCCGAGATTGTACCACCATACTCCAGCCTCGGTGACAGAGCCAGACCTTGTCTCAAAAATAAAAAATAAAAAAAATTCCAGAAAGTGTCCCTGTAGTGTACTTTCCAAGCTTCTGTCACCTCTTCCCAGTCTTTCCTGGCATCCCCCATTTCAGCTTGGGATCTAAATGATTAAACCCCCTCCCCATCCCTGGGATGGGGTCTGGAATCTGGATGTAGCCATTTCCATCAGTTTGGCTTCTTAGCCACAGTGATTGGGTTTGTATGGGCATATGACCTAACTCCGTTCAATCAGAATGATCCTCAGTCCTGAACATCTTGGGAAAAAGATGCTGGTTTTCTTTCTACTGGAGAAAAATGAAGCCTGAAGCCTGATGCTGTTAGACCTGTCTTGTATTTACAAGAGTAAACAGGCTATCTCATCAGCAGAAGGGAGACCTGCAATATTAAAAACCAAAAACCGTAAGGCTGGGCTTGGTGGCTTATGCCTGTAATGCCAGCACTTTGGGAGGCCGAGGCAGGCAGATCACCTGAGGTTAGGAGTTTGAGACCAGCCTGGGCAACATGGTGAAACCCTGTCTCTACCAAAAATACAAAAATAGCCAGGCATGGTGGTACGCACCTGTAATCCCAGCTACTTGGGAGGCTGAGG